AGAATTTCTTGAGAGTTCTACCAAGTAATTATGTGATGGAGTTGGTCGTCGACTTTAATGCAAAAAATTACTATCATTATTACCCATTGGCTTCATATACAATATAAGGACTTTTTAAAAACAGGGTCTCACTTTATACCCCAGATTATCCTTAACATGCTATCCTCCTGCCTCAACCTCCATACATGCTTGCATTACAGGCCTGAGCCCCCATCCCTGACCAACAGCACTTGTCATGTTTCAGGAGAAGATTTGATTACAGACTTCCTTACCAATAATACAGACTTTTCTCCCAGCTCTCAGTTCCCTCTGGTAGAGGCATCCACGCTGAAACATCACTGTGTGACACTTTGTATCTCCACAATTCCAAAGATGCTCTGTCATGAGTACTAACATTAATGAGTAACAGAGACTCCTCTCTGTTCCAGACTACACACTCTAGTGGAGAATTAAATGGTTTTGGATATCTACTATCAACAGAGAGCTGCCATTTTTGTTGCTGTTTTTGCTTTATTTGGTCACGTTAAAGATGCTTATTTTGTTCATAAAAGAAAAAAATCTTTTCTTCCTTGGTTGCTAGAATTCTGGGATGTAGCGCGAGTGCACAATGTGCACGGTGCTGAAGTGTCACTGGAGTCATGGGTGATGGGCAACTCATCTGTAAAGGACCCTGTGAAGCTTTGTACTTCCTCTTCTGTGATGTCAGGTTACTCTGTGCTTGCAGACACTGCGATTAGCATCTACAGCACTCTCAAATCAGGTTCTTCTTCGTATACCCACCACAGTGGGGTAGCTATGGTGCATCTGCTTATTGTAGGCAGATGTACTCATGCTTACAACAGGAGTTATTACTCACAGCATTTATCATGTAGTCTGAGAGACAGGTGTTCAAAACTTGGGCTGAGTGATGGGAGAGCAGAATAAAGGGAAGATGAAAGGAAGTAAAGGGAGGGGGTTGTAGCATTGTCCCCACAAGGAAGTCATCGTAGCAGGAGGGTATGTATTGTGTTTCTGGCAATGTCCAACTAAACAAGAGTCAAGTAAGAGTAGGATTGAACCTAGAGCCTTCTATATGCTAAGTGCCCCACCACTGAGCTACACCAGAGGCCTCAGGTTTTATATACCACGAGAATATATATGGAAGCAAACATATAGCCGTTTCTCAGTAAAGTTTAACTGAGTATTTACACACTGCGCTTTGGAATCCCACTTTGGGTGTGACTGAATTTACCAATAACAAAAGAATTAAGGGCAGGATTTGTTGCTATGGGATGAAGAGCGGACGGAAGTGGCAGGGCACAGGGTCTTCCTTTGTGTCCCTCATTTCCCCCTACACTCTAGACACAGGAACACATGATCACCAACTTAGTACAGGAAGCAGCTTTCAGCCTCACTGAGAACATGGCTGCAATCATTCTCTAGTTAGATCCAAATGACTGAGTTGCCAGGTGAACTGTGTTGGTGGCAAACTCATTTTTTCCTCACCTCCAGCACCCTCTTTCCCAGAGATCAAACAATTTTCCTGGGTAATGAACTGTGGCTGCTATCAAGTGGCCTGGAAATTAAGAGGTCCAAAGTGTCTTCCTAGTCCTTGTTTCCGTTTGGCTAGACCACTGTTTGCTGCTATACCACTGAGCTGTGTGTTCCAAGGCAGGACAAGGGCAGGATGGGAAAGGCTCTTCTAGCTGATGGCCATCACACTGCACTCAGTGCATCTGTCGGTTAGATGATGATCTCCAGTCTGTTCTTCAGCAAAGGGCGAGCAGATGGAACCAGAGTGTGCTCTGAGGCAGAGCTGTCTTCAGGAGAAGCAGCCTCGGGCTCTGATCTGTACTGATAACACACCCAGAGTCTGGAGAAAGTGAGTGTGAGGAATCACACACTTGTGATAAATGAGGCAGTATGAAAAGATAGCGATAGTAATTCAAGGCTATCTACTTTAAAATTTTTAATATGTCTTCCATAGAAAAATAAAAAGGAAATATCTATAACAAATTCACTTCATTAGCTCAGGAGAATATTTTTCCCATGCAGTCAATGTTTTAATCATTTTAGTGATAATATGAATAATTTTTTCTATTAAGCATTTTGCTATTTATAAAGTTTATGCTAAACATTTGACGTTTTATATGTTCAAACATTACTTTTTGGCATTTGCTAAAAGTGTTTCCAGTTTGCTAATGAAAATACCTGGCATATTGCATGCTATTTTAAGAAAAAAAAGTATTTATTGATAATTTAAGCTATCAGGAAAAAGGCATTTATTTAACAACTAATTCAATACAAAGGAAGTGACTAAATTACACAAAATTTTACATTTAAATAAATTTCAGGCTGTGATAGATAATGCTTGCCCAGAAACGACTTATCTATGACTAAAATGAAGTTCCTGAAGATGAAACAATTATTCAAACCCATACGTTTTCTATGTAGAACATCAAACGAAGATCTAAAATAAGGCTCTTTATGGGAATGTTTTATAATTTCTAAGAATGCCATTAAAATGTGCTAGAAAGAAAAATACGATCAGGTTCAACTGCATTGAAGAGTTAACAAAATGCTGCTTTAGTCTGAGTTTCTATTGCTGCTATGATAAAAGCGACACAGGGAGGAAGTTTCTGTTTCTCAAGGCAGCTTGTTAGTCCATCACTGAGAGAAGCCAGGGCGGGGACTCAGAGGGGCCTGGAGGCAGACCTTCTCACTGGCTTGCTTAGTTAGCTTGCTTTCTCATACACCCCATGACTGCTACCCAGGGGTGGCACTGCTCACAATGGGATGGGCCCTCCCACATCAGTCACTAATTAAGAAAATGCACTACAGGCTAATTCCTACAACCAACTCTTACAGAGGTATTTTCTCAGTCGAGACTCCTTCTTTCCCAATAACTCTGATTTATGTCAAGTTGACAATAAACTAGTCAGGACAAATAAACTGGCCAAAGTTTATTCAGATCATTTATGAAATAAATGGTCATATATGGAAATCAAGCTGAAACCCTACTGACTAGCAAACATAGGCTGGAAGGTGTATGGCAGGCTACTGCGGGGGAAAGTCATCAACAACCTTATCCAAGCGTGAACCCTTCAAGCCACATTGCCAACATGGCCGGCAAAATGTGCCCATGTGGTGTAAGAGTGGCATGACTGTTGTGGGAAAAACAACCTGCTGATTGGATTTGAGGCCCACGCCAATCTGGTCAAAACTCAATGGCTAGTGTGGTCATAGGCCCTAAGGGGTAACTTACTACTGTTGTTTTGCTAAATGGGCATACCAACCTACTTCTAAGCACAGTTTAGACCCATGGACAAGTGCGAGTCTCAGCCTTGAACAGAGAAGCTTCTCCTTCAGTGGAAGGCAGTGAGTGCAGAGACTCGTGCCTGTTTCAGGTGCTGAGATAAGGGAACGATGAGTGCTTATCCCTAAACAGGACACTTTATCGCCCTCCTCTAAGGCCTGAAATCATCAAGGAAGAGAGGGTAGACAGAATGTGAGAGTCTGATGATAGGAAGAAAGGCTGGGGAATGCGACTCTCTGGGCATCGAAACACAGCTACTGCCATCATGAACTCAAGCACCTGCAGATGCCCTCACTGTGCACACAGAATACTGGCCCTGCCAACAGCCACAGATGGAAGAGAGGCTCATGGTGCCTTCGCCCTCCTTGGGGAACTACTGGCTGTTACGCACCCACTGGAAAGTCCACAAGACTCAAGAAGATAGTTCCACACCCGCTGTCTTGCAGTGGCTAAATTCAGTCGGTTGCAAAACAAAGAGACATGGGTATAGAGAAGTATCCTGTAAGGAGGAAGAGGGGACTTAATTGGGGTAGGAGGGAGACAAGAGAGACGGGAGGTGAAAGAATCAGAATGCATTATGTATGTGTATGAAATTGTCAAAAGCCAAAGCCAGTTCCCTGTGAAAACATAGAAGTGTGTTAATTTCAAATTCTATCAGAGTAGAGGAGGTGGTTCATGGACAGAATACTTGCCTGACATAGGCAAGAACCCACGTTTGGTTTCCAGCGTTATAAAAACCAAAAACAACAATAATGACAACAAAAACATTTATGTGGGAATTAATTTAACACAAAGTACACTGTTTATATAGGTTATTGTCACATTTAAATGCTTTCTATCTGTGCTGGCTAGTTTTTATGTCTATTTGATACAAGGTATGGGTCATGTGGAAAGACAGACTCTTCATCAAGAAAATGCCTCCACAGGTCAGGCATGTCTGCACATGTTTGTAGGCCGTTTTCTTCATTGACGACTGTTGGTGGGAGGTGTAGGCTACTGTGGATAGTGTCTCCTGGGCTGGTGATCCTGGGCATTACCGTGAGAAGGCAGGCTGAAGCAGAGGCACTCCTCCATAGCCTCTGCTTGAGTTCCCACCTCCAGGTCTGTGACCTGCTTGAGTTTACGCCTGGATCCTCATGATGGACCGACCTGAAAACTGTAAGGTGAAATAAACCCTTTTCTCTCCAGGTTATTTTGGTCATGGTGTTTTTAATCAACACAATAGAAATCAAACTAAGATACCATCCTAAAATGACAAGGAATTCAAATGCTTCCAGCCATTGTAAATAAGCTCCCAACTTAGAAAAAAAAAATAGTCATGGTGAGACTCTCCCATATACATCACACAGAAACATCCAATCCTCAAAAGCTTAGCCATGTCTTTAAAAGGCACAACCCACAGGGAGATCTGTGAAAAGGTAGATTTACAGGAAAAATGAAGAGGTTGTGTCCTAGCAGCTACACTGTCTCCCCTCTCAGCAGGCCATGGTAGTTTACACCTTTCATCCCAGCACTCTGGTGCCAGAAGCAGGCAGATCTCTGTGAGTTCAAGGCTAGCCTGATCTACATATCAATTTCTAGAACAGTCAGAGCTACGTTATATAAACACTGACAAAGGAGGGGCAACTATGTTAATTTCATTTATTAATTCATTACAGGTTTGAGGATATTTTCTCATAAAATGATCAAAAACCAAAAAAACCTGTATGGTAACAATTTTTATTCTTTATAAAACAAAACATTACAAGCAATTTAAACTTTCAAAGCATGTGACTGGCTCAGTATACTGCAGTCCGTCTATCAATTGTGGAACGTGAAAAAGCACACAAAGGTCGTGAAGACAAAAGGGAAATCTGACGGCAAGTAAAGCAGTGTAGTACTGATGCTGTGGTGACATTTATGGATATTCCCAAGTTAATATTATTATACTTATGTAAACGATTCATGTAGAAAAGATTTAACACAATCTTTAATCACAAAATCCGGGCTAAGGAAGCTTGTTTCTCCTCTAAGCGCTGTAGAGTGATGCTGTGGACGTGCATTTCTCCGGACCTCTTTTCAGGACGTCCACCTCCAGGCACAGTCAGGAAACCTGAAACAGGCACAGAGATGCAGAGGCAGAGCCAGTACACCTGGAGAGGTTCCTCTAGCTCCATCCCTACACTTGGATCTACAAAACAAAAACAAAGAACAACAAGAACTCTCTTTATAAATTACTCATTCGGTGTAAGCTCATTCAAACTGGTGTCTGTGAAAGTCAAGCCAAGAAACAAATTCGGAGTTTCTCTTACAATATTTAACTTATAGATGGATAGTAAGTGCCACACGCCACCTCACCCACTGCCCTGAGTCTGCTCCCTGGAGATGCAGTTCCTTAAACAGCACGCCCCCTGACCAGCTGCATCTCCAGACAACAGCCAGCTGAAGCTCACCAGGCTAATTTCCCTGTCCCTTTGGCTCTCAGTGCAATCACTCCACCTGCTACTGAGGTGATTTTTTTTTCAGGGGTAAGAATTTGCTTTTAGCCTTGGGGAAGAAAGCACTTTGTAGGAATTCCAGCAGATTATATTGTTACTGTTTTATCAATCCTGAAGAGATTTAATCTTTGTGAACTTGATGTTTTTGTTATTGCCTTTTATTTGCAGTTTACCAAGTGCTAGACACCAGTACCAACTTACAAATACTGCCCTTCTTGTTCTTCACAAAAGCTTATTGGGCAGTGAATCACCGGTGGCGAGAACGTCCACTCTCCCACTGCACAGTGCTAGCTTAAGCATCACTAAGGCAGAGATGAAAAGTGTAGAGCAAGAGGAGAGACTGATGAAGAAACAAAACCAAAAAGTACATGCAGTAATAGGGCTGGAGACAGAGACCCAAGGTAGAGTGCTCTGTCTGGCATGCACGAGGTTAAATTTCCAGCACAAGGGCGGAAGGAAGAAAGTCTGTGTGCATGATGAGGGTTTGTAACTGGGGCAGAGGTCACTGATGTGAAATATTAAAGATGTGTTACATTGTTTATGCTGTGGAATATTTAATGATGCAAAGATGTGCTGCAGTCTTTTACGTGGCTTCTTTAACTCTGTGAAGCTATGCTACTTTGCTTGCCTAAAACACCTGACTGAGCCAATAAAGAGCCGAATGGCCAACAACTAAGCAGGAAAGGATGAGGCGGTGCTGCCAGGCAGAAAGGATAAACAGGAGACTGAGGAGAAAGAAAAGGAGGCGAGGAAACCATCAGGGGCAGCCACCCAACTACATAGCAAGCCGCAGAATAAGACGTAAAGAAAAGAGTATAGAATAGAGAAAGATAAATGCCCAGAGGCAAAAGATAGATGGAATAATTTAAGAAAAGCTGATTAGAAACAAGCCAAGTGAAGACTGGGCGTTCACAAGTAAGAATATGCCTCCATGTATTTATTTGGGAGCTGACTGGCTGGTACCCAAAGAGAAAGAGTAAACAAACAAACAAACAAAAAACAAAACAAAAAAACAACTACAGGTCACTAGTTTGCTACCAGCACCTACTTTGAGCAGCGAACCTATAACTCAAGGGGCTCCAACACCTTTGTCTGCTCTCCACGAACACCTGCATTCATGCAGACATACGTGTCCACACCCATATAATTTTAAATAAACTAAAACAAAAATATGTAGTGAGGTGAGGTATTTAGGGGTATGTAGAATGACTATCTGTGAGGAAGACCGCTTGCTGGTCCCAGGAATTCTAATATAACTGGCATGCGCAGATTCTTTTTAATCCAGAAAAAAATATCTGTCTTCTTGGAAGTAGGAACAATAGATCTCACGAGACCAGGAGTGGAACTCCTGTGTTAGAACAAACTTGCCAGTCAGAAAACAGCAAGAATTAATGGGTACATTTGGGGCTCCGTTTTAATACATGTTCATGAAACATATATATTTTGAGGGTCCATCATGGTGGTGAGGCATTATTAAAGAGCCGGTAACACAAGAATATGTAGCCTGGTGCAATTTTAGTGATATTGACAACAAAGCAAATATTAATTCTTAACTTTAAACAAAACTACTCATCCGGAAATGCTGTCCCTACCCAAGATTCGTTGGGATCCTCATGATATGTGTGTATCCACACGGCTATTCCTTCTTAAATGCTTCTTTTAAGAAATGCTAGGGTTCTCTTACTGTTCATTCTGCTCATTTTTATTTCACTTCTCAGAATACTAATTAATATCTTGTCTAATGCAGTCCTCTGAAGAGCCAAGGCGATGTCCTAGAGTTACTTTCAATACAATGTTCCAAGTTCCCAATCTGTCTCCTACTTGCCCACCTACACAGCCTCATCTGGAACCAGGAATGCCTTATAGTCAAACCGACACTTCTACAAATTTCATCTGTAGAAGAGCTATGCTTTCATCCTGGGACTTTTCCTACCTTGTGATTCTTCACCTTGAATTCTCTCTGCTGCACTTGACGTCTGACAGAGTCCATTATGTCCAGTGCAGACAATCTCGCCCTTAGTCACCATCTTCTGTGTATAACCACGCCTTCCTGACATTTTTGTGTGAACACTTTTGACAAATCTGCTTCTCTCACAATCTGTAAGTTGCTTGAAGTCAGGGACTGTGCTAGATATTTATAGATCCATGCTGTGTCTATCACATAAAATGCTCTCAGGAACAGAAGTTGAAAAAAGTAATTAATACTTAATTATTAAAGATTTCTATGTGGCATGAAGAGTAATGACTAATTAGCATAATACTGGAAGCTGCATAGAAATTAAAGATGAACAAGTTAATAAAAACTTGTTTCTCACTAATAAAACTTTAAACATATATTACAAGACCTCCCAAAGTTACCCTGTGACTATATTAGTTATGTGACAAAGGGGGCATAAGGTTACAGGTGGCACTGAATGTGATTATCAGCTGACCTTAAAGTGTGGAGGCAGATGGAATGATTTAGGCAGGACTAAGTGCATCGCGAAAGCATCTATGCTGTAGGGTGATGAACAGAACAGAGGACCAGTGAGCAGGCCACTGGAGAAAGACTGTGGACGCTGGTGCTGAGTCTGAAAGGGAGAAGGAGGTCCGCCAGCTGAGCAGTATAAGTGGCCTTCAAAGCTGGACAAGGCAAAGAAATGTTCTTCCCTAAAGCCTCTGACACCCCCAATCCTGCCAAAACCTCGAGAAAGAATCATTTAGCCGCGTGACACCCATTTTGGACTTCTGTCTTCCAGGATGATAAGCTACTGAACGTGGTTTTAATTCACTGGTGGTCCAGGTTGTCACAGCAGCCAAGAGAATGCAAACACACCCATTCTGAACAGGAGTGATGCTGGCTGAGAGTCAACACACCTGATAATGGTGGCTTATCCACGCTGTTCCTCTCTCTATAAAGGAAATCTGGGACTAATTATTTCAGTGTCAAGGCTCCTGCTCCTTCAGCTCTGTTCTGACTTCTTTTTGGAACTTGGCATAGCAGGTCTGATTTCAACCAACAGGGAGAAGTGCAAAAATGACGAGCCTTGGAAGACTGTTCTCAGCGCTGCACACGCCACTTCAGTTTCTATCACACAGTCAAAAGTGGTAGCACTTTTGGTGGCACTTAGGCCCCCTTGCAAGGAGGGGAGAAGTAGAGCCATTACTGTAAATGGCCATGTAGTATTTAGTAAAGACTAAACAGACCTTCTGTCATTACTAAACACCCTGAGAACTTTGTCTTAAGTACACACAAACTCTAATTTAAATTACTATTTTGAAGTTGTCTCACATAGATTTCAGATAAGGAGAGAGCCTTCATTCTACAGTTATGGAGTAATTAGTGTTTGCCAGATTTTGCATAAAAACATATGCTAGGATAACACACTTATCCTACATTCAAATTTTAATTTGGAATCGATGGGACTGGGACTCTTGGCTGACAAGGTTGGACACACTTTCTCATTCCAGCTCACCTCTTCCTAGGGTCCTGGCAGGAAGTAGACAGAGTTTAACGAGGAGAGTTCTCACAGAGGTGGAGACAGCTTTTAAGGCAAGGAATGATCGAGAATCTAATCATTATATCTCCAGGCCAGAAGGTTCAAGGGAGAGAAGCAGTTTCTAGAACTTGGCTACAAGACACAGGTATCTGGCAGGAGCCCTGGGCCCTAGTGGAAGATGAAGCTGCAGTCACAGGGAGGGAGTAAATATTCTGGACTCTCTCCTTCCTTTGATCTTTTGCCAGTGCTTCCCAAACTGGCTGAAACCAAACAGACTTGGAGGGCGAAGGAGCCCGAGTGATGCTATCCACAGAAGCCAGTTTCTCAGAGCAGGGTCAAGCAGAGACTGGGTTTAACCAGCTGGAAAAAGTACTCATCACGCAAACAAGCAGGATGTCTTAGAGTTGGAACAATTTTAAAATCCTTGACCTAAAAGATAAAGGGAAAGGATCCAAACAGAACCATGTCAGACCTGGGACAAAGAAAGACAGGGAAGAGAATGATTAAAAAGTGAAACAGTAAGGTGGGGCAGTGTGCGGCCCAGTTATCTAAGATAAAAAAAAGGAGCAAGGAGGTGAGACGATGAACAAGGCCAGACCAAGGCTGTGCGTTGTGGAAGTCACTCAACATGGGGTTTTTCTATCACAAACTTTTTCATGTGACCTGAACACAGTGCTCAAAGATTTAAAACAGGCTACTATTTTTTTAAACTTTTAACTACATATGCTCCAAGGGGTAAATTCTGGCAGTGCCTGTAACTGAGACTATGGGTTACAGAAAGCCAGGAGTGTAAGCCAAACAACAGATGCACTCTGTAACAAAATCAGTCAGCTGCTCAGAGAAGTCAAGATGCCAAACAAAGAAATAGACAGAAACAAAGGGGCAAAGACTGCAATGCAAACTCAATGCCAGACCCTTGATACCGTGCTAGCAACAGTCCACTCAAAACCATTTGTTCAAACTGGGCTCTCTGGTGTTAATCACCTGAGCATAGGTTCACATTTGGTATCAATAAAGGATATCTTCTATAGAAGCTACTATTGTATTAGCTTTTGGAGATGATCACTGATATTCTGCAAATATCTCCCTCAGATAAATTTATGCTTTTATATCTGATGTTTTGAAAAATGTCACTTATGTTGACAGTCCTGTTAAAAGTGGGAGCCTCATCAGAGAAATTTTGTGGGTGCAGTACATAATAAAAATTATTTGGAGGCATGAGAAAAACATGTGTCCTTTCCTCACCTCCAAGGAAGTTTAATTAGAAAAGCTGGCATGGGTCCTGAGGAGGGCTGGCTAAGCATTGCCCTGGGGTCTGGTTGCACTGCACCAGTGAGGTGACCACCAGCTTCCTTTTACCCATTGTCAACAGCAAATCCAGTCTCAGCTGAGCCATTATGGAGAAGCAGCTGGGTCCCTGCATCCTTTACAGATGTCGTGGTCAGCTTTATTATTTTTTCAACTTGACACAAGCTAGAAGTATTTGAGAAAAGGGAAGCTCAACTGAGAAAACGTCCCCCACAAGAATGGCTTGATTTGACTGATGTGAGAGGGCCCAGCCCACTGAGGGCAGTGTCACCCCTGTGATGGTGGTCCGGGACGCTGTAAGAAAGAAGGCTAAGCAAGCCATGACAGCAAGCCAGTAAGCATCACCCTCCATGGCCTCTGTAACAGTTCTTACCTCCAGGTCCCTGCCCTGGTTTCCTTCAGCAGAGTGTGATCTGAGAGCTGCAAGCTTGAAGAAACCCTCTCCTCCCCTGTGGTGGTCTGAATCCATACTTGGTGTTTACTCACCAGGGAGTGGAACTACTTAAGGGTTAGGAGGTATTGCCTTGTTGGAGGAGGTGTCACTAGGCAGGCCCAGCTTCTCATCCTCTCTGCCTGCTGCTTGAGTCAGCATGTAAAGTTCTTAGCTGTCGCTCTAGCACCATGCTTGTCCATTTACCCACCATGATGATCATGGTCTAATCCTCTGAAACTGTAAGCAAGTCCTCAGTTAAATGCTTTCTTTTCTAAAAATTGCCGTGGTCATAGTGTCTCTTCACAGCGATGAAACAGTAACTAAGACAGCACCCAAGCTCTCTTTGCTCATGGTGTTTTATCATAGCAATAGAAACCCTAGCTAAGACAACATGAGCTCACTGTCTCCACTCTAAAGCTGCAATGTGGAAACGGTACCGACGGGAGAAGCGGCACTGACAGACGGCTGACGACACTACCGGATACTGAACTCTGACAAGGTCTAGAGAACTGTAGTCATACTTCAGAAGTGCACTTGGAAAGTGAGGTGTCCTTGATGCATTAACACCTGATTCAAACTTCAAAATATTCCATTCATTTACAATTTTTCTCTTAAATTTTGAAAATACAGTAATCCACTTTTTCTTTTTATTTATTTTCTTTTTAATAAGCTTGGCATTTCAAGATTGGGTAAAAGTATACAAGTTTTTACAGTATTTCTTGCTCAACATGTACAATCCTAGTGTTCAAAGCAGTATTAACATTTCACTAACACATGAGCAAAGACACATACTGAAGGCATGTTCTGTGATGTGTCAGTCACTGCAAAGAAGACATGAAGCATGTCTCCTTACCCCCTTTATCTAAACTCTTGTTAATTTGAGACAGGGTCTCCTGTAGCCCATTCAGGCTGGTATCTCAGTATACAGCCTAGAATAACCTGAACTTCTGATTCTCCTTCCTCCATCTCCCAAAAGCTGGATTTAATCTAAATCTTAATAGGTACTTCCTTCATAAGTTGGTTCCAAAGATTCCCCCCTCCCAGTGCTTTCGTTAAAATATAACTATCAGACAAGAATCAGATTTAAAGCAATACTCTATATTCTGAAACTTCTGTCTGCTCTTTCTAGTATAGATTTTAAGTATCTTCAGTAACATTATGGAACTATAAATAGTCAAACATTTAATTTATAAGTTATGAGAGGCTTTTGTAAAAGTTAAACTTTGTATTAAATTTGGCTTACCAATATTTCCTGTGCATATTTTAAAAATAGAACTTAGCAGAAGTAATTATTTAGGGAAAAGGAAAAGGATAAGAGGGAGATTAAGATCAAGATTAGCATGGACATGAACGGCAATACTGTTTCACACTCCACCTCAACTGTTCCTAAGATAAAGACACACACCCTTCACTTCATTGAGGAGAGCAGGCTTAGAAAGTTGAGATAAAACTTATTTCTGAATTATTTACTCCACAGCTAGTAGGCAGTTGGGTACTCTGCTAGGTACTGAGGACACAGAAACAGCAAGTCCTATCATGTGATGTCCCCATAGTTAGTAAGAGCCCCACACACTAAGTCAGTAGCCACTGAAGGAACAAAGTATCTTGTGCTGTTTGTTTTCGTGTGCCTATGATTGTGACCCTGAGGAAGAACATAGAAAAAGGACTGGATGTGTGACACCTCCCAAGTGTAAGAGAAGGCTGGAAACAAGGTGCCTGTGAAAAGTGGAAACTAGACAATTTCTGGTAAACAACAAAAGTATATGATCTGATTGAGAAAGCAATGAGGCCAGGCCATGGCTCATTCTTGAGATCCCAGCTAGCTACTCAGAATGCTAAGGAATGGGGCTCCCAAGCTCAAGGGCCGAGTTACAGGTGATCCAAGGCCACTAACCCAAGGGTACCATTCTGACACAAATGTGTTCCAGCTAACACGGTACTGAGGAAAAGCAGCACTGCCAGTATGTACAAGGACCAAGAAGTCTAGTTTTGCAATGACTGCAGATCTGATGTGTGAAGAACATGTGCAGTCCCATTATTCAGATGCGGGGGAAGGGGGGTTTGGTTCATCTACAGGCAGCACGTTTTCATTACTGGACTTCGGCTGTACACTTACTTCGAGTTAATAATTCTTTTAACATTTGGAGGTTGGTGGATCTTTTTTTGGGGGGGCAGGATCTCACTATGTAGTTGGCCTGAGACTTGTGACCCTCCTGCCTCCACTTCCCACAAGCAAAGACTGCTAGTGTATGTCACCATGACTAGTCACACAATAAAATATCCTGCCTAAGGCATGGCAAAATCAGTAGGTAAACCTTACCAAGCAGCTTTCATGTACTTGCTCTGTGTTGGTTTAGTGTATTATTTCTTTTGGGGGGGGTTGGGGGAGGGAGAATTATTTCTTATACTCCATGGGATGTTTGTTATTTCTGTCCATAAGTCTCACGTTTATACAATAACAATAACTACATATCTAAAATAATGGCTTAGGTTCATTTATCTCATAAAGTTGTCCCACACAATTCCTCCTTTGAAAGGGGTGGGAAGCGGGGAGAGAGGTAATTTTAAATCCTAATTACTGAAGACAGGTACAAAAGTATTTAGGTCTTGTATAAAGTCAAGAGCTTAAGATAAAAATCAGCCTCAGCGAACACTAGTCAGCCTTGTTTTTAGCCTTGAGGTCATTATACCACTCAGACGTGTGTGAGACTAGTTATTTTGAGGCAGGGTCCCACTGTAGGCAGTCTGGCCTTGAACTCTCAGCCATCCTCCTGCCTCACGTACTGAACGTTTTAGATTACAGGTTTCCAGACCTGCTCCCCAGGGTTGTTTATGCAAGTCGCAACGCCCACGAGCCTGGCCACCCTGGGACCCTGCAGGGCGGGGTAGGTAAGGTGACAGCAGGTGAGCTAGGCGCAGATGAGGAAGTGAGCCTGGCACGGTGCGGGGATTACTCATGCTGCTTTCCTGAGAGCGGAATTTCTCGCCTCCTTCTCTGTCCAGCTGAAGTTCAACCCAAGTGCTGTCACTTCCCGTCTGGGTAGACAGGGGAAACCCGCGATTCTGTGGGAGGGGAGGGAGTCAGAACTAGCCAGGTAGCTCGCTGCGCGTCCCTGCTGTCCACGTCCCCGGCGAGCACGCGCGGGCCGCCGCACCGACAGCCGGAGCGCGCGGGACCCGAGGAGGGCGCACTGTCCGCGCGGGGTCTGCGCGGGTGTGGCCCATGCCGCCAGCTCCACCTGGTCCAGAAGGCCGCCCTGTCGCCTCT